GGAGGAGGAGGAGGAGGAGGCGGCGGAGGAGGAGGAGGGGGAGGAGGCGGAGGAGGAGATCCTGCGACCCCGCCTGCCTCGGCCCCGTTTGGGAGGCTCGAAGGAGGAGGCGAAGGAGGAGGAGGCGGCGGAGGAGGGAGAGGAGGAGGAGGCGGAAAAAAGAAGGAGGCAGAGAAGGAGAAGGAGGCAAAGGAGGAGGAGGCGGAAAAAGATTTTATTCTATTCTAATATACCCCATTCCGTCCCCTGCGTGCCGATTTGTGAACTAAGCTCAGCGAGGTTTGTGCTGGGCCCTCTGGTCGCCGGGTGCTCACGGCCTCATCAGTTCTAACGTCTGAGATCCGCTGGCTCCCAGCGTGCAAAACTAGCATTCAAGGCATCAAGAGAGCACGGCGGAACGCTGGCACCCAATACTGTCGCTGGGCGGCCGCAAGACGCGCAGTCTCACCACCTCTGGACGGCGGGGCACTCGGATATTAATCGGAGTCACCCCGATCCCGAAAATCGGCCAACGCATTAAACCGAACCCCATAGAGCTCCCCAGAAATTAAGAATCTCGGGCCACTCATCTATCTCATTCTGCGATTTGATTTTTGCTTGTTTTCAACTGTGAGTTGTCCGAAGACACTTGTACATGTACCCACTCGTACGATAATATGAAACAACTACGTCCCCATGAGCATCGCGCCCATGCTATATTCAATGATTACTGGCGGGGCCCACAAATAACTGATCAATACCCTTGTTGCTCGAAGAATTTCGCCAATGCCACGAACGCTCGGTGAAATTGCCTGGCGAGTGGAAAGAAGAATCCACCCGCATGTGCTAAACGTTTGGGCCCTCCGTCGGGACTTCTTTCGGCTCTGACACTACCCCGGGTTCCCCTTGCGTGATACTGTATTCACGGCGTTTGCAAAAACGCTTTCCCATATCTGCACTCACTTTCATGGATGGGGGGATGGAGGCACTGCAGGCAGTGATGGAGATCGAGGCGAACGCGGCGAGCAAGCGTCGAGCAGTCGGAGAAGCGGGAGGAGACGATCAGCACAGGAAATTGGCAGTGGCGACGGCAAAAACGGCGGTCGGCCTAGATGTGCACATGCGCGGGCCTCAGGGATGCTTGGAGACGACTGCACTGGTGAAAGAAGATCACCCATACCTGAAGGGCCTCCAGGAGACGGGCAAGGGACACGACGCCGAGCGCAAACAGCACAAGGAGCAAACGAAATACGAAACGATGAATGCGATGACGCCTTCACACGAACGTTGCCGGGCATCTTTGATTGCGCAGATTGCGAAGGGCCAGAGTGTGCCGAAGGAGACGTTACCGAAACTAATGACCTACAGCGCGCGCTGCTCGTCTGTCTCGGGCCAAATACTCACGCACGCGCAGAAGAATGCCATCGCCAGACGCAGTGGACAGAGGACCGTTGCCGCATCAATCTGATGGTGGTGCCAGGATTGAGGGTGATTCAAATGGAGGTGATGACAACTATTGCGATGAAGCCGAACGCGGAAGTGGAAATGTGCGCCCCGTCCAGGGATCCGAACGCGCGGTCCGTGGTGAGCACGTTGGTGGAGATGGGGCAGTACACGGCGCCGGATCAGGAGTCTTGAGGCCGCCTGCGCCGCTTGCTGCCGCTGCCTGTTTTTCCTCGTCCGTTTCCCCCCTCCTCGTCCGAAGCCGAATTCGGGACGGCGGGCGTGGAGCTCTCAGGGGGGCTCTCCGTAATTTATGATGGCCTGCGAGGGGTCAAACTACCCGGGTCCCCCGAATACGGCAAACCACCCGCGAGCACGAAGGGCGTCCTGTGCTGGTCGATGGCTACGACCAAGCTCATAGATTAAGATCAGCTCCGGGCCGTTA